TTTAGCTACTGCTATTAAATCCAGTGGGAAACAGTGCAACTCCTTTCTCCTGCATACTTCATGTCCCTCACAGCAGCAAAGAAGACCTGAGGATGGAGAAGAACTAAAAATCTCCCTCTCCCAGATAGTGGTTGAGTTTCAAGTTTGGGATTCTATCTTTTCTCTCAGATACAAACAAAATCCATGGAAAGTGCCCTCTTGCTTCTCAACAGCCAGGATGTCTTGCCTGGAATTTTCCTTTTTGTCTACTTCTGGCTAGTATGGCTAATCCCATTAAAGTTTCCAAAACCTGTATTTGTTGTTACGTTATTGTAATAGCTTCTTAATACATCAGCCTTTATTGAATATCTGAGATTTGCTGATGTTCTGATAAGTGTGCAATAGCATTCATGTCCTGCACATACTGGTATAACTCTACAATACACTATAGTGTCTGTTTCTCCTGGGAGAATTCTCTGCCACTGCATAGGCACAGAATTCATGTCCCCTGCAGTTTCTTTTTTCTCCGCAGAAAATACATTCTGCCGGAGAGGCGCTGCAGTTATTCCTTTTGCCTCCGGGTTTGCTGTGGCACCAGAGCTGAGGGCAGCCGGCTCGCAGCCAGCTGTGGATAGGGAGAAAGAGAGACTGCTTTCCTCACAGCGCCCTGCCCATGGGGCCAGGTGAGGAGGTCCAGGATATGGGGATGGACGGACAGAGAAGGGCACAGGGAGCTTCAGGGAGGTCACCTAGACTAGGGTTCAGAAGGGCTAATTGGGGGAGGAACAAAATGGGAGTGGGGATTCTGGGCCACAGGGGTTATGGGGATGTGGGTGGCTGAATGGGAGAGGCTAGGACAAGTGGGAGCTGCCAAAACAACCCCTCCCCCCAATAAAAGCCCTATTCCATACTTCTTCCACTCACACCCAGCAACCGTCTAGATTCACGCCCAGGCTCCTTCCCAACAATTACTTCCCTGTCCCTCAGTTACTCCCCATTCTGCCAAGCCTTTGCACTGCTTCTGAGGGGTGCAGGAAATACATTTCTGTTTTGTAGTGTAAATGAATTATTACTCAAAGTTCTGTATTAATATGCCTAATAAGGAATCTATTTGTCAAAAAACATTTCCTGAATCTTTTTTTGTTATCTGTATTACTACAGATATATTTGTTGACAGGAATTTCAAAACAAAGTATCAAAATAATTGAAATGAGCATGATTAATTGTGTTATTTTGACAAATAAAAGATACAGAATTTTAAAATATGGTTTGGAGAATCTTTAAGTTTTTGGCACAAAATTCCCAAAAGTAGTCTGTTTTATGTGTAGTAGGTGAATTACATGTATACCTCACACTGAGTTCAGTTCCTCTGTGTTTCTCTAGCAGTATTCATGATCACACAGACTCACACTGCTTTATGAAGATCCTTCAGGGGAATCTAAAAGAGACTCTGTTTGAGTGGCCTGGAAAAAAAGGGACTGGAGCAATGACTAAGAAGTCAGAACGTGTTTTGGGAGAAAATCAATGTGCCTATATCCATGGTAAGCTTTGTTTTAATGTCTTGTATATGACCATCCCATTGCTGACCATCAGTGATAACAACTTGTAACTGAAAAGTTCACTCTTTAGTAAACTGATCTAGCCAAGTTCTTGTACTGTTGCTAACCCTGTCGTATATCAGCACTTGTTTAGAGTTTGTCTCTCCTCAAACAGAACAAAACCCCATGCATCTAAATTCATTATTAAGATCCACAATAAAGACTCAAATCTTTTAACTCCCGAATGTTCAGAGCCTTGCAGAACTGAGTTGCATTTTCAGTTAATTATCTGGATGTGGCTATGAAGTTAAATGTAAAACAATTGGAAAATCACATGTATGCAAATCCAAAATACATAGGTGTCTCTCCGTTTGGATTAGTGAAGAAAATATCTCTTAGGTCTGTAAGGTCCTTTTGAGCTACAGTTGAAAACCTAAGAACAATACTGTAGGGCTGTGTCTAGACTGGCAAGTTTTTCTGCAAAAGCAACTGCTTTTGCGGAAAAACTTGCCAGCTGTCTACACTGGCCACTTGAATTTCCGCAAGAACACTGACGATCACATGTAAGAAATCAGTGCTTCTTGCGGAAATACTATGCTGCTCCCATTTGGGCAAAAGTCCTTTTGCACAAAAGCTTTTGCGCAAAAGGGCCAGTGTAGACAGCTCAGATTTGTTTTGCGCAAAAAAGCCCCGATTGCAAAAATGGCGATCGGGGCTTTTTTGCGCAAAAGCACGTCTAGATTGGCACGGACGCTTTTCCACAAAAAGTGCTTTTGCGGAAAAGCGTCCGTGCCAATCTAGACATTCCTTTCCGCAAGTGCTTTTAACGGAAAACTTTTCCGTTAAAAGCATTTGCGGAAAATCATGCCAGTCTAGACGTAGCCTCGTAGAGTAGTAATCGCTCACACAATCAATAAATCTAACAGCCAGCAGTAGAATTAATAGTGATTGAAATATACTTTGCTCTGATCTTTTAGAATCCTGTATTTATACTCTTTGGGGTGCACAGAAGCTCATACCTGTCTTGATTTGGGGTAGAGAATAAATGTGCCTTTTTTATTGAATAACGTTACTCTTTACAAATGCACCCAAAAGACCAAACCTGCAATCGTCCACACAATTCCCCATGTGAAATAATGCACACTACTGTATAAAAATGGTGAGCTTCTTGACTGCTTCTGACTGATTACAATGTATGTAACTCAAGGATGCTCACCTAGAAATAGTGGATGATGGGCTGCATGAGTGGCCCTCCTTCACCTCGGTGGACCATAGCCCTGCAGCCCCCCATCTGCCTCCCTTCCCCCATGTGCCTCTGGTGCACTGGGACACCAGAGCCTCATAGTTACCTGCTCCTCTCCCCTTCTTCTCTCCCTCTCAGCACTTTTGGAGCACATGAGTTGTCTGATTCACGCTCCGTTCCTGCCTCTCCCTCACAGAGCTAGAATGCCGCAAACAGCTGATTTGTGGCATTCCAGCTCTGGGAGGGCGGGAGAGAAGGGGGAATGGAACATAAATCAGGCAATTTGTGGCTCCTGCAAAAGTGTTGGGAGGGAGGCGGGAGGTGTAGGAACTTCTGTACTCTGGTGCCCCAGGGTGTGTCCTCACTTCACTTACATCCACACTGCAATCACGTTCTTTCAAAAAAAAAAAATCAAAAGAACAGAGGGGTTTTTCCAACATTGGTAAACCTCTTTCTACAAGGAAGAAGCCTTTTTCTGAAAGAACTCTTTCGGGGAAAAAGGTGTGTGTGGACGGGGAAGAGGGAGTTCTTTCGAAAAAAGAGGAAAGGGGGGGAAAAAGCACAGGTGCCCTGGTGGCCACGTCATCCATAGTAATCACAGCTTAAATGTGGGTTAGCATCCACTCTGAATGCACGCTATCTTTTGAAAAAGCAGATCGCTTTTTCGATACGCTTTTGCTGTGTAGATGCTCTCTTTCAGAAGCTCTCTTCTGGAAAAGCTTCTTCTGAAAGAAGCCTGGAGTCTAGACATAGTCCCAGTGTGTCAGAGGCATGTGTGGAGGGAAGCAGCCAGGGTGTCCGCAGACCACAGGTGGAGCCCCAGTGGGCCGCATGTGATCTGTGGGCTACAGGTTGATCACCGCTGGTATAACTGCTTCTATACAACTTTCTATATGCACTCAATGTTGTTTTTCTAGGTATACTTTTCTACTGTTAGAAGTTTGTAAATAAAACAAACATCTTGAAACATTTATTTGACCCTGCACAGCTAGTCTTTTGGGTAGCCAGCCAGGGCCAATACCTCTGAAAATTTTGTCTTCTGATTATTTTCCATGCCTCCTGTCAACTAAGAGGTGTATTTTCATTAACCAGAGTTTCTGAAGTGAACAGATGTCTCTCTTACTCCAGGTGCTCAGGGTTTTTATTGGAGGTAAAGAGATGTTTGTTTTTTAATATAATCAGTGCATTGGAAAGTAAGACTTTTTAATTGATTCAGAAAATATTTGAACTTTATGTGTATGCTCTAAACTCTGTTTTTTTTGTTTTTTAAAGCTATCTACCAACCCCCCTCCTCCCCTCAAAACTAAGTAGTCTTCTGAGGGAACTGTATGTCTGTTTCCTCTGTGTTTCCTGGTTGGATATTTCAGCTTACGAGTAAAAGAAAACAAAATGCATTGCCAGCTTAACTCCTTAACGATGCCTTAAAGTGGAGTCATCCCATCCATAGGAGTGGTCACTCCAGGCCCTGCACTTTTGGGGGACCCACAGCAACTGCCCCAACAATCCTGTGGAAGGGAGAGAACCAAGGGATAATGTGGCTTGGCACAGGATGACAGCGGGGGTTGACCCTACCGATGCACTCACCCCATGGCGCTCTGCTTCCTGCCATCGTAGAGAAGTGGGGTGCAGCAGTTCAGGAGAGGGCATTGTAGCATTTGAGGGTGGAATTGGCTGCTGGGCCACTCTGGCTCCTGCCACCCACATGATGCATCAGGCTCCCATAATCCTCAGGGCCATGTTGCTTGCGAAAGGGGGCAGAGCAAGGGTGGGGCTTGAGGAGTGGATGGGGCAGAGCGTGTGGCAGGGCATGGAAGGGGATTGCCCCAGACCCCCCTTGGGATGGCCCTTCCTTAAAGTATTTGTGTTTCTATCAGGATATCTCCAACATCATTTATCTGAATGTGGTGCAGAAAGAGTATTCCATGTAGCATGGCAGTTGCTTTTTATACTGGTGCCTGTTGCTTGGTGTTTGCATGTGTAAGACAGCCCACGGGAGTGAGCTGATTTTAATCTCTGAGTACATGAATATAAATTTTAGGGATTTATTCCCTCATTACATGAAAGTGTGGGTACATTTTAAATGTGCCAAAGTTGGAATGCATCAGTGCTTTCCACAGTAACAGTATTGGGACTACATTGTGCAATTAAGGGCTGAGTATTATATAAGATATTACATAAGCATAAAGGGCTGAGTTGCATTTGCTCTAAACTTGAAACTTGGACTCTTGAGCAATTTTTAAAATTCTTTTTTAATGTTCTATCAGCATGAGTTTTGGTAGATTTAATTTTCACTTTGGGTATTTTATAATAACTCAGTTTCACCCCTGATTCTTAGAAAGTGACGTTAACTTATTAATAGCCGCCCTGTGGACAGTGGGTTTTTTATTACCTGTTCAATTGAGTTTGCTGTTTTAGTTAAGACTGGATGTTTGCCACACTCTAGTAATTTGTCCCTTTAAACAAAAGCCCAGGCAAATGGGAAAGGGTAATTGGAAGATGAACAACTGTGAACGTCTCCTTGCTGTGAATTTACACTTGAAATTCAAGTAGTTCAGTTTAAACGTGGTTGATATCCTTGTTATCAGGCTGAAAACTAGCAATGCAAAAACCTGAAATGCTTATTCTTTAGAAAAGCAAATCTTCGATCCAAGGTTTTCAAAACACCAGCCTCTCGTAGGAAACAAAGAAAAAATAATCTGGAGATGGCAGCTAATAATAAATTATCAATGGTGTACGTACGTGTACACACACACACACAAATCTGTATGTAGAAATTTAGAGAGCAAGGTATTCTGAAGTCCCAATAGGTTTGGAGATCTGTTCAAGAAAGTAAAACCCAAATTCCTAGGTGTGGCTACCTTTCTTTTTGGTTTACCGTGCTTCTCCCAGCACTTATCAGATTTCATTAGATCCGTCTATTAATGTAGACTTGCTTCTCACACCTTGCTTGTTTAGACTCCATTGGCCTGCACCGGGTAGAGAACACAAGCCACACAGAGTCTGCTGTTAGTCTACATCTGTACAGCCCAGCCTTTGACAACTGTAACACCTTTGATCAAAGAACTGGACACAAGCACAAAGTCAAAATGACATTCTATAGTCAGTTTGGAGAAAGGACTCCAGGGGTAAGTACAAGCTAATGAATACCCTTTGTGTCCTCACATGAACAGAGCAAAGAGCTAGCTTGCCATGCTGTTGTCCATCCCAACCGTGGCTCTGTTGGTGGGTTGCCCAGCACACACACAGTTCTTGGCATGGACTGCCTGATCATTTTTAGGCTAGAGATGAAAAACATTTCAAGAGGAAGTTTAGTTTTGGCATCAACCTTAAGTTTCTTATATTGCTTAGTTTTAAAATGTTACTTTGCACTTATACTGCAGTGCTTCCTTTGGTTCTTCAAAGCATGGAACAGATATTATGCTCATGGCATCCCTAGGAGGGAGGTCAAGTTTATCGCTATTTCACAGATGGGGCAGTGTTGTTGTCAGAACTACAATTGGATTTAGGTATCACTGGCTCTGCTCATCTGTCTGCCCCCAGCACTCCTGTGTGTGTTAAAAAAAAAAAAAAAAAAAAAGGGTCCAATCTTATGAAGTATGGAGGAACCCTCAATGCCCCTTGATAGCAAAAGGACTTGAAAGTGCTGTTGGACTAAGCAGTTTCACATTTCAAGACCAATTTGTTTTCTCCCTGTAACTTGTTGGCAACAAAAAACGAACACAGTGTTCTGAGGTTTTAAAAACAAGCTTTGAAATGCAGAGACTCCCTGAATGAGGTTGGTCCGGTTAGTGGCACAGCACCAAAGCCGAATTCATCTCTGTATGGAGTCTCAGTACCAGGACTGGGGGTGGTGCTTGATGGCCTTCTCTTTGGAACACTTCAGCGTATCTAACCTAGCCACAATCTAGTACCTTTATAGAAGAAAGGCTGTTTTGTGGTATAGGGTTGCCAACTTTCCCAACTGGATGGACCAGACACTGTTGCCGCATATGGTGTCTAGTCCATCTTGTTGGGAAAGATGGCAACCCTACAATGCTGAAGAAATGGCACAGATTTTGTTTGGGATGGTCCATGGCTGGATTGGATGGTCACAGAAGGCCTGATGCTGAGAGGTAATGAGCGCTTCTAACTCTCACTGAAGGAGTAGCAGGTAATGAATTACCGAGCCATTAGTAGGGGAGATTCAACTAAGGCTTTATGCATAATAGGCAAAATCCCTCCAGTCCAACAAGCACAATGCAAATAGTTGTGTTTCTTTGGAGCTTTTTATGTTAAAGCGATAAGAAATTGATTCAACCAGGTCAAGCGCCAAACTTTAAACTTTACACATTTGAAAGTTCTGCAGACAACTAAACTTTTTATAGTCCTTATTGTCTAGAAGAAATAAGATAGATTTGAAGAGAATGAAGAGCACAGTCACGTGAGAATAAGAGTTCAAGCATTTTGCTGTGTGTGTATTCTCTTTCTTTAAAGCTCTTTACCTGATGGGAAGTCTTTGGTCTGTGTGTAATAACAAAGTAAAATATCTGGGAAATAGTTGGTTTTTTTCCTGTTTTTCTTCTGTAGCAACTGGCAACATTTTGTGCATGTGATGGGAAGTTGTAGCTGATTTTTGAATGGGGAAAATCTTAGTCATTGGGTGTCTCCGCTTAGTTCCAGTAACTTTAAACAGTAAAAGGGGGGTGGATGGAGCCTCGGTTTGGCCATACAGCTGCTTCAAATAATTTCATGCTGCAAAAATTTTTTTAGCTTCAGTGAGGGTTTCTGGAAAGATCATTGGAAACAGACACAGATCTTTTTGCTGTTTACCAAGTGTCAAAAGAAATTGAGGAGGCAGTAAAGTGCAAATTGGGAGGAAAGGTTAAAAGTATAAAGGAGAATGACTGGTTTAAAGTGTATTTGTTTTCTTAGGAACAAGAAAATCTACCTGAAAAATTAAATATACAACACTTTATATTGGCTTTTTTAAAGTTAAACTAAGCAAAATTTAAAAGTAAACTCCTGATGTAGTTTTCAATAAGATGTAATTATAAGTTTGGCTAGGGTTTCATTGAGGAATCTGGCTATGTTGGGGGTCTTTTTAAAACTAATTGGTCAGTTATTCAGTAACTGCAACCAGCTGTATATGCCAATCACCTTTTTTCAGTGTTAATCAGCCAACATACCAGTGACTTTCCCCAACAAGTATCCTCCTGTGTGCTTAAATAAAGCAAACTATATGGATCCAGAGTGTACTTTGTGAGTGCTATTGTATAATTATACTGCAGTAATAATATAGAGAACTTTCATGCCAAGAAAAATCTCTTAAGCTTGATCATGCCCTCTCATATGTGTAGTACATCATCATGTGGTTTGCTAGTAGGCATTCATGTTCAAGTACAGTTAGGTGATTCTCACCCCACCCTCCACCAGACTGGGGGCTAATTTTGCTGACAGGGTCAAGCTTCATTCAATAGGTATGAGGAGAAGGATGGTCTGGTGTAGATAGGACATGAGGCAGGGGTTCGGGAGACCAGAGTTAAATTCCCTGTTCTGCCATGGAGTTGCCCAAGTTTGCACAAAATCTTGTGGTCTTTCTGCCTTCCTTCCCTAAACCCAGATCTACACTAGGACTTTAGTTCAAAATTAGCCACCCAAGGTTGAATTTGTAGGAGATGTGTCCACACTACCCAGTCCATTAATCCGGAATAAGGAGCTGTGGAATTTGAACTGTGTAGTCCCGCTTTTCATGAAGAATAACACTATTCCTGAACTTGCAAGTCCTAAATAACATTAGTGTGGACACTCCAGTGCTACTAATTTGAACTAATAGGCCTCCAGAAGGCCTCCTGCAGCTCCCCAGAGTTCTTCTTGGGGCTCTGAGTCCAAAGTAGTGCATCCACAATAATAGAGCCTGTCTTGGAGATTTGATTCTTCTCCATAGTGAGGACACGGAACTTCAAATTTGTAAAATCAGGTGCCCAGAAGTGAAACTTAGTAAATTCAAAATAATCTCTTAGGCTACGTCTACATTGGCCCCTATTACGGAATAGGGATGCAAATGTAGAACTTTGGAAGAGGCAAATGCGCAGGGGATTTAAATATCCCCCGCGGCATTTGCATTTTCGTGCCCGCCGCTTTTTTCCGGCTTGGAGATAAGCCGGAGAAAAGCGTCCAGACTGGCGCGATCCTCCGGAATAAAGCCGTATTCCAGAGGATCTCTTGCAAGTAGGAATAAGAGATCCTCCGAAATAGGGCTTTATTCCGGAGGATCGCGCCAGTCTGGAGTTATCTCCAAGCCGGAAAAAAGCGGCGGCCATGAAAATGCAAATGCCGCAGGGGATATTTAAATCCCCCGCGCATTTGCCTCTTCCAAAGTTCTACATTTGCATCCCTATTCCATAATAGGGGCCAATGTAGACACAGCCTTAGTGTAGACATGGCCTAACTGTGTAAGAGGGAGCACTTCCCTCCCTCACCCAAGTGTTGAGAATAAATATATTAATGAATGAAGCCCCCAGCTGCCATGGTAATGAAGGTCATATAAGTACTTTAAGTAGATGGAGCATCTTAACTTACTTGTAAGTCTTTTCTTTTAAAAGACTCTCTTCTCTTTCTTTTAGGCAACAGCAGTGTCACAAGAGAACAACTGAGAAGCACTAGAATGAATATGCTAAGGCCTGCTGAATATTTGCCCAGGGACTAAAGAATTGTATAGCTGATGCCAGCTTTAGCTGAGTAACCTGTGCATAGAAATACAGTAGGGAAGCCTCCTGGCAATATGTAGTTATCCTGAATGAATACTGCTTATGGAAAGTCTAAGGTGACTAGTGCTGTAAGCTGCTACAGGGGTTAGATGCCTTTACATAGGCTGTTGTAAAGTCAGAATCAAGTATCTTGTTTTTCTGATCCTAGCCTCTTTTTTTAAATTCCAAATTTGAGACTCTACTGAGAATATCAGTAATAGGCTTTTAAAACACCATTTGCCTCTTTAAATAGGGTTTTTTTTTTTATGTGGTATGTGTGCTCAGTGTATTTAGTTATCTAAATTTTGTAGCTTCAAGTCACCATTAATAATATGTACCCATTTGTAATGTATTAGGTACTATTAACAGCAGTTGTCTTGTTTTTTAAATTACCGGTAAGTCTCTTTATGTTTTAATGCTCTGGATTTTGGTAGTTGTGCATTTTTTTTATTTTATTTTTAAAAAATATAATTTGTCAGATCTGTTTTTAAACAGGACCAATAATGCAGTTCATGTACAACACTGTTTGAAAAGTTAACTGATTTGGAGAAAGGTCTGGGTTTTTAACCAGACGAATTATGTCTAATATGGTTAATATCCAGTTTCCAGAGTTCTGTTGTATAGCTACTGAAGTCCTTAGGGTAACCTAAATAAAACTGGATTTGAGTACAAATTTCAAAAGTTTGCAGCTTCTTTCCTGATATCTAAAGCATCTATAATGCTCATTACTTGTGATTAATTCCATCCTCCTTAGATTTCTCATTATTATCTCTTAAATCTTCCCTAGGCAATACCATTGTTAAAAGAGGAGTTAAAAAGACACAAGCATTTAAAATTAATTATGAAATCTTGACCCCATTGAAGTAAATGGGATTTTTTGATAGATTTTAGTGGTTACAATATTTCATCCTTAGCCATGAGCTACTATACACAGGAGTTTTTGCAAAATATAATTATAATAAAAATAGAAATGCATCAAAAATCAGTGAGATCTGGGGTTTTTTTTCTTCCTTAATAAAAGAATCAATTGGTCTGTCCTAGCACGTGCATGGGACAATAAGATATGCTAAGTGAAAATATGGCTTTCCTTAGTTTTCTTATGAAAACAAAAGTAGAAAATGAGGACGTATAAAAATTCCACTGCTCTCTTCCTTCACATCTTAAATGACTAAGAGTACATCTATACTGCAGTGCTATTTCGGGAAATCAGAGGTATCCCAAAATAGCTACTCCACGTCTTTTGAACATGTCCACTATTGTGAAATATAGCAGATGCACTATTTTGGCATCCCTGCAAACCTGGTTGCACGAGGGATAAGGGATATCTTGAAATAGTGTGGTGTTTCAAAATTTGGCACTGTGTAGGTGTGCCAAATTTTGAAATAGCCTATTTCGAAAAAGAATCAAAATAAGATGCACAGTTTGCGGAGCACAATTTGCGGAGCACAAATTGCATATCTTATTTTGAGCTAAGGGTGCAGTGTAGACACACCATACGTTCCACTGTGATAGAAAAAGGTAGTTAAAATTTTATAATGAGTTGCATATCTTCAGCCTTACTGGCAATAAGTGCTACACAGAGTTTTAGAATCTCAATAGTAGCCATTTACCATGTGCTCAGATAGAAAGCAGTTTTTAAGCCTGTCTTGGACTTTTTTCTTTTTACTCCTGGAAACTTGGAAAAAAAGTCTGATGGGAGAGGCTTTGGGAAGGACTTTCAAAAGCAGTAGATAGTTAGACAACAATTCCCTTCAGAAATAACTGGGACCTTAGTCTATAAGGTGCCACAGGACTCCTGATAAAATATTTAGTCAGGACTTTCATAAGCACCTGTGAAAATGAGGCACTAACAGATTTATTGGAGCATAAGCTTTCGTGGGCAAAGACCCACTTTGTCAGAGGCATGTCATGACAAAGTGGGTCTTTGCCGACAAAAGCTTATGCTCCAATAAATCTGTTGGGGCTATGTCTACACTGGCATGATTTTCCGGAAATGCTTTTAACGGAAAAGTTTTCCTTTAAAAGCATTTTCGGAAAAGCGCATCTAGATTGGCAGGACACTTTTCCACAAAAGCACTTTTTGTGGAAAAGCGTCCATGGCCAATCTAGACGCGCTTTTCCGCAAAAAAGCCCCGATTGCCATTTTCGCGAGCGGGGCTTTTTTGCGGAAAACAAATCCCTGCTGTCTACACTGGCCCTTTTGCGCAAACGTTTTTCAGAAAAAGACTTTTGCCTGAACGGGAGCAGCATAGTATTTCCGCAAAAGCACTGACAATCTTACATGAGATCGTCAGTGCTTTTGCGGAAATTCAAGCGGCCAGTGTAGACAGCTGGCAAGTTTTTCCGCAAAAGCAGATGATTTTGCGGAAAAACTCGCCAGTCTAGACACAGCCTTAGTCTATAGGATGCCACAGGACTCCTTGTCGCTTTTGCAGATTCAGACTAACACAGCTACCCCTCTGATATTTTACCAGGCAAATTCAACACCAGGATAAGTCTTCTCTTAGGAGTTGGAGGGAGTCAATCTTAGGTTTTCAGTGGAATAAAGAAACCAGAGGTAATTGCAATATGTTAGCAAAGGAGATCAGGAGTCCATGAAGAATGTCTACATACAGAATCCTTTTTTGGAACCACATCCGGACGTTAAAGGAACATATTGAGTCCAAAATTGGAAGGGCAAGGAGTATCCGATCCCTGCTGGCAAAAAGTACTTAAAATGCTGTGTTTTAATTATGGTTTTACATTTTATCCAAACTGTATCTCATCCTGCTATATTACTGGAGAAATCTCCAAATGTGTCTGCAACCTGAGTGGTGTCCCTGGGCTAGGAGTGAAGTCATATGGTGGTTGAAATGAGTCATGTCACTGCACCTCTCAAACAGAAGTTTTACACTCCATCTCCAGAAACACAGAAAAGTCTCAGGAGTGGGTGCTAACACTGGGTCTTTACCTCTATAGCCCCACTGGCCATGCTTCCTCTCTCCCCTCCCCGCCCCCCCAAAGGGAATATTGCAGACATGGAATAAATGAATGCAGATAAAAGGAGGATTTGTTTGTGTGCTGAGTAACTGGAGGTCAAAGATTCTTTTCACCCTGGCCCAATGGAGTAACCTCTATGCAGAACCAGCTCATTTGTGCTTTAAAAAAAAAAGATACTGTAGACTTCTTCATATCTCGTAGGTGCCTTCCCCTCTTGTCCTTTTGCTGTGTTTTTTTCCTTCCCTCTCTCCTACGCCTTGTCTGTTATACAGGAGAAGTTGTGCTGGTTTAACTTCATTTTTTTAAAAATCAATCTAGTTAAGTCATGGCAAACCTACCATGTAAATACATTTAAGTCAGTTAAACCCTTGCCTAAATTTGACAATTTACTAAAGCAAGCAAGACCTACGTGAGTAAGGTTTAAACTGGTTTGATTGCATTTAATAAGTGGCTTAAAAATACATTTAAATCGGCACAAATTCTCCACTACATATAAAGCTGTAGTAGTTCATAGGGCACTGACCTAAGAGTTCAGAGAACAGAATTCTGTCACTGATTCATTGGGGAATCTTGAACAAGCGACTTAATTGCTCGGTACCTCAGTTTCCCCAAAAGTAAAAAGGAGTTAATCACATTGCAAAGCACTATGAAACCTATAGGTGAAAAGCACTACACAATACAACTTATTAGGCTATCCACTTATCCCCAATCACAGGCCATCTTGCTGCTTGTTTTCTTCTCAGTGGCTTTGTGTCTTCCTATTTATTTACTGAAGATTAGTAAAACAGTGAATCACAATTCATAAATAAAAGGAAAAACAGTGTGATTTTTTGGGACACAAGTCCAACAACTTTGGCCTTCGTGAAAGCAGAAATGCCAACACTGTAACTTTCCATCAGTTGTCTTTAATCTCTACTCTAACTGGTTTGTTTGCTTTTCTGTTACCTATTTCAATTTCTAAACATCATGTGGCAGATTAAATTCTGCCCTCCACCAGCAAGACCTGGGTTTTATATTTGCTATAGAAGCAGAGAAAAAACACAACAGCAATGTCAAAGTCTGTATTAGCTGCAATTTGTTTTTTGTTATTTAAAGAACCTGTTCCAGAGCTACAGCGATACAAAAGGTACATGTTGTTCATGAGCATATTCTTAAATTGTTTTTTCAAACCCCTCCCAACCCTGGGAAAAAGTTGTTTGTACTGCCAGGGTGTATGTAGCCTTTCCAAATTTAAAGCAGGCAGGTCTGCCTGCAGTTCCTCTGACATTTCTTATCTGTTTTGTATTGTTCTTTTCTTAGGGTGTGCTATAATATGCTCCTGCACTCCTGAAAGCTTTTGCAATCCTTGCCTGGCACATAGTCTATTCTGGCCTCTGTTTTTAAATGGCTCTATACACAAGAAAGATTCAGCCTTACTGCCCTGGAAACTGTGATAACCCCTTTAGCCACAGAACAAGGGACAACTGGAGCAGCAGATTCCCCGCATGGGTTTGTAAATGTTTCATCAGTGTTGAATACCTCCATGGTCACTCCCCTTGCCTATTCAACAAGGTTCCCTCTAATCTTTTCCATAGATGTGCAGAATAATTTTTGTATGTGTACCAAATCATGTATAAATGCGCACCACTATCAGAAACACAAAACCTACCTGTGGGTGCTCTACTAATCAGCTGGGCAATATTGGAATTTCTCCTGCACTGCTGCACAAGGCACAGCTTACAGGGAATACTGCTCCTTGTAAGCTGTTCAATATTTGGACTTTCTGCTGAGATTGCAAATAAAGGTGACATCAGTCCTGAAGTTACAGATACTATCCACCAAGAACTTGACTGAGCTCAGCAATTTATTTTATAGCCGTTAGATAGCAATGATTTTTTTTGTCACTACCAATTCAAAATCAGATATGAACCAGTGCTCTGATGACAAAAATCTGTTTCGAATTACTACTGATCTTATTTTTCTGAGCCATACGTGGTACTCAGTCTGTCTCTGCTCCTGCTTATTTACTGTTCTTACCTCTTCCTACTGGTAGACCCTGGGAAAATGAGGTGTGTTAAATGTGTGAGTAAAACTTGTTTCCTACCATGTTAAGCACCTACTGTAGAGCTACTTAACCCTAGTGTAAAGGTTACATGTTAATAACATGTAAAAACAATGAGGAGTTTATTATTCCTGTTAGCAAATGCTGTGTTAACTTACATTTCAATTACCACATTATTAACAACTCTCACAAGGACAGCCCTCTTGGTCTGTATCAGTAAAAACAATGAAGAGTCCCCTGTCATCTTAAAGACTAATAGATTTATTTGGGCAGAAGCTTTTGTGGGTCAAAACCACTTTGTCAGATACACGTGGCAAAGTAATTTTGACCCACAAAAGCTTCTGCCCATATAAATCCATTAGTCTTTAAGATGACAGGGGACTCATTGTTTTTACCGATACAGACCAACAGGGCTGCCCTTGTGAGAGCTGTCAGTAATGTGGTAATTGAAATGCAAGTTAACATAGCATTTGCTAACAGGAATAATTTTTCCCATTGTAAAGAAGACACTTTTCCAACACACAGCCATCCCAACCTGTTCCCTGCAGGGTTACAAAACTGTAACTGCTTTAGCCCTGAGTAACAACATCAGAATGGAAATTCTTATGGCATTTTATTTTCCTCCTGTGATGCTCTCTGTTTTTCAGTAAGACTACATGAA